AGGATACCTTCAAGAGACACTTTTTAAGAGTCAAATGTAACCACTTGTGCTGCAGATGCCCATGTTACTTATGGCTGAATGAAGTTCCTATAAGTCATATCGCTTGTCTGTGAGTGGGATCAAAGACTCAACACACTTAAACGCCAAATAGAGCAGACAGCTTGTAGGATGAAACAGTCAAAAGGCCGTGGTAGCTGAAGCTCTCTGAAAATGTGGAGGCAGTAGAGAAGGTGAAACAACACTTCAAAATGCATCTGTAAAAAGTGGAGCCAGCAAAATGAATATCAGCTGGGAAGCAGCCATAAATCTCCTTTTGGCAATATGTGCTTCTTCAGCATTCAGTCTAACAGGGAAGAGATAACAACTATAAAACTGTCTTGCAGAAGTTTCAGAAGCAAACTTGTAAAAAAGTGACATGGACACCATGAGGGTCTGAAGGATGGGAAACATTATGAGATTTATGATTTGAAGCATATCTGGCTTTCAATCACTGCAGCCTTTTTAACCTCTCCAATTAAAACAGCACAGGTAAAATTGTTCATGACAACCACAAGCCAAAAAACCTAACTAGCAGCAAGCACAAGTAGAGGGGTGACTTAATCATAGTCCTAAAAAGCACAAAAATTCAAATATTCATGAGAACTCCCAATGCAAGAGTGAAACAGGGATTGCAGAGGGGTTTGATTCTCCTGGGAAAAAAAAAAAAAAAAAAAAAAAAAAAAAAGAAGAAAAAAAAAGAAGGAAAAAAAAAGAAGAAAAAAAAGAAGAAAAAAAAAGAAGAAAAAAAAAGAAGAAAAAAAAAAGAAGAAAAAAAAAAGAAGAAAAAAAAAGAAGAAAAAAAAAGAAGAAAAAAAAAGACTGTCAAATGACTTTCAAAGGGAAGAAAGACCTTGACAGGAGATTTCTTAGTTCTTAGGATAAGTTTCTGGTTTTTAATGGAAAAGAAGATGAGAAATGTTGAGTAAGGGTTGTCTGATTAAATGTATATGGCGAGATCTGACCTAAGCATGAGGACTGCCTTTATGGTTGTCAGAGACAAAGGAGATTATGAATGGTGAGGTTCATCTCACCCTGCAGCAGTCCCCTACAAAACAGGTCAGAAGGATCATACCCTAAAAATTCTTTGATTGTAGAGAACCTTGTTTAATGACTTCACATGTAGACATCTATGCTTCACTTGCCCAGAACTATGTGATACAAATCACTCTCAGTGTCAGCCCAACTCAGCCAGACCTTGAAGGCAAAACATTTTAGAAAGAGTCACAAGACATGGCAGTTGCCTTGTTTGAAGAAGAAATCTCCTTTATGACATGATGGGATATCCACAGGAATCATCAACTGGTTAGTGAAACCATTTCATATAGGTCACCAAACAGCCTGTATTTCAGAGTCTTAATTCTGTCTTCCAGCTTCATATGCTGAAACTGGAAGAGAACAAGAACCAGCCTGAATAAATCTCCATTGTGTATTTGGGTAACTAACTGATAACTGTGAAGCCCAAAGGGATCTGTGCCTGCACTGACTAAACTAAACAGTTCTTTTTCATCAAATGAGAAAAGAGACTCAATCATAGGGGAGTTTTGCTTCCTATCTCATTAGTTCACTTTCTGTGAAGCCAATACCAGCCTGGAATCTTTTCCTATGTATGCATTTTTCACATTTATTTTTCTTTGCTTGAGGCAATGGAAGAATGAGTGAATGTAACAAGATGATGTTATGAAGCCATTAACTGCCCAAGAGCAAGGAGGTAGAGCTATTGGGAGAGAAATATCTCATAGCTTCAGTATTTGGGAGCTTCAGTGCATAAAAATAATTTACCTGATCAGAAGAAGCCATTATTTTTTTTCTTTTTTCTTTTTTTTGGTTTTTTTTTTTTTTTTTTTTGTTTGGTTGGTTGTTTTTTTGGCTTTTTGAGTGTCATGCTTGTGGTGGCTTGACCCTGGCTGGATGCCAGATGCCCACCAAAGCCCACTCTATCACCCCCCGCCTCAGCAAGATGGGGAGGGGAGAAAATAAGATGGAACACAAAAAAAACAAACTTGTGGGTCAAGACAAAGGCAGTTTAATAGAAGCAAAGCAAAGCTGCGTGCACAGAAGCAAAAGAACAGAATATTTATTCTCTACTTCCCATCAGCAGCCGATGTTTGGCCACTTCCCGGGAAGCAGGGTTTGCATACGCGTTGCGGTTCCCGGAGGACAAACGGAAGTAACGAATGCCCTCCCCTCCCACTCCTTTTCCCTTGCTTTTATTTCTGAGCATACGTCATATGGTATGGAATGTCCCTTTGGTCCGTTTGGGTCAGGTGTCCTGGCTGTGTCCCCTCTCAAGACCTTCCCCACCCCCAGCCTACTGGGGAAATGTTGGAGAGACAGCCTTGGTGCTGTGCTAGCACTGCTCACCAGTAACCAAAACACTGGTGTGGTATCAACACCCCTCAAGCCATTAATACAAAACACAGCACTCTGACGGCTGCTACAGGGAAAATCAGCTCCATCCCAGACAGACCCAGTACGATGCTTAAAGCTCATTTCCTTCATCAAGAAGAAAAAGCCAACTTAGTAAATGCAAATCTTTCAAACTAAAACAATTGTTGGTGATTTTCAAATGTAGTAAGTAATCCAAACTCTTTCTCCTTACGATCAAAGCCTTTTACTTCTCATATATAGTGATCTTGGTTATCACTGGGGAGTGACCCTGTAACTTCTATATCATGGAATATAGTCTTTATAGCTTAGGCAGAGGGAGTTAGTCCTTTAGCTTAAGGTTATGAAACCGTTCACATCTTCTGCAGCTCAATCACAGCCAAAGATGTGCAATACATACTAAAAAGAGGCTTCATGCAAATGTGTGGACCAATGAACCCTCAAGGGCACTTTCCATTTTGCCTTTCCTAGCTCTGTTCAGAAGCTGATAACCTTGAATGCACTGAAACATCTTAAAGTTATTGTGGGGAAAAAAATATGCTTCAAATGGTTTTATATGGCATTGAATTTACAGAATTAAGAAAAGTTTAAATTGCTTTTTAAAAAAAAAAATACAGAACATCTTAAAATACATTGCTTTAATTATTTAAAAGTGCTCCAGTTGCTCAGACTAAGTCACTTTAACTCATAAAGCGTGTTGAAATATGCATAGATTTAAAATTCAACAAACTTTTAAAATTGCTTAGAAAATTCCTTCTCTTGACACCAGTTCTTTCATTAATTAAAAATATTTTTCATCCTAATTGTTCTAAATGCAATTTCCAGCTAAGAAGGCCCATGTCCCTTTTATTTCAAACAGTAAAAAGCCTCAATAACTAAATAATTTTTATTTTTATTTTGGATCTTTGTTAAAGAAAAATTACAAAAAAAGCAGATCAAAAGTTCTGGATTCATATCCTCTCCTTTAACACAAAATCATACAGCACAGAGAATATCAATGTGCGTTTGCCTCCTCATGATGTTCTGTCTTTGTATTCTAAGTCTGGTCTTCAAAACCCAGTCTCTGTAAATTAATTTCACAGGGTGGATTTTTGAAGAAAGTTCTCGTTTTTCTTCAGTAGCACTAGCCTTTTTGCTAGAGTCTGAAGGGACTATTCTGATCATTTTGTGGAATAGCCAGAAGCTCAAGATCCTACCTTCCTACAAAACCCCATATTATTTCTGATCGAACACAGAACACCTTTGGGGCCCTCATCCACTTTTGGCCTAAAGTACATTTATGAAGTGTAGTCAAGTTGTCTCCCACTTTTCTTTTGAATAAGCTAAAGGGAATTCACTCCATACCTATTTAAAACAGGTTTTCTAGGTTTTGTACTAGTGTTAAGAATAGTTGTGAACTTTTCATAGTTTTCCTTCCTGAAATCCCTCCAGTTTATCAAGATCCTGTCTGCAGTGCTCAAACTAGATCTAGACAGTCCCACTAAAGGCTTTCCTGTTGCCTAAACCAAGGAACTCATATCTTCTGTATTCTAAATGACGTTATCTTGAGTTTGAATTAAAATTCAAACTAAACTAAGCATCATATTAGGAACTCAGATCACAGAATCACAGAATCTTAGGGATTGAAAGGGACCTCAAAAGATCATCTAGTCCAATCCCCCTGCCGGAGCAGGAACCTAAATGAAATTACACAGGAAGGTGTCCAGGCGGGTCTTGAATGTCTCCAGAGAAGGAGACTCCACAACCTCCCTGGGCAGCCTGTCCCAGTGCTCTGTCACCCTCACTGTAAAGAAGTTTCTTCTCAAGTTTAAGAGGAACCTCCTGTGTTCCAGCTTGCACTCATTGCCTCTTGCCCTACCATTGGATATCACTGAGAAGAACCAGATATGTTACTACGGGAACAGATAGGTGTGTTTCTTTCAAAGTTGCTGATTTTTAGGATACAGCCCATCCCCCATAGGCATCTCTTCTTAGTGGGAACTGTATTGTTTTCCTCAAGGATTATGGACTGTCTTCCACAATCGCATTGAAATTAAAATCTTAATATTTCTTGATTACAACCTGTATTTCATGCAAAACACATAACTCTGCATAAATAACTATTCTGCATTGCTACTTACTGCTAACATAATATGATGTGATCTATAAATGATGTTCTGACTATCAGCAAGTGTGCAAACTTTACCTTCCAGTTGTAAATACCAAAGATTGATGAAAAGGAATTAAACCAGTTAATTTAAAAATGGATACATTAGTAGCTTTTGGTTAACTAACAGCACTCTCTCTACTGACCAGCCACATTTCCTGTTAAATGGAAAAAGAAATCTGGAATTACAATCCTTAAAAATAATAAGTTCTAAAGACAATGGTAGATTTATGGTCTCCTAGGACAGTAAAACTTCAATAGTTATGTGATATAGCTATTGTACATAAAAATTAATGTAATCATTTCTGTTCAAAACCTCATATAATACAGATTGTTTGCTCTTGGAAATAATTCTACAGCATTCCTCTGTAAACATTAAGTTGTTAGATGCCAAAAAATCTGACAGCTCTAGGCACTGAAGATTACTCACCCTTGAAGGTCTCACTGCAGTATAAATTACTGAAAAATTAATTCCTTGTTCCTGCAGATCCATGGTCAGTCTTCCAATAATTTTGTCTATAAATAGAAACATGCATAATTTAACAAACTCTGTGAAATGAGAAAGCTAAAATCCTACAGTAGTTGGAGAAGTAATGACATAGATGTTTAAGCTTATTTAGTTTGTTTAAGCAATTTAGGTGCTCCTACCATTTATATGTCAATATGTACAAATGAGATAAGACATATTCAGTGTCTTGAAAAATGTATAATTTCAGTGAGACAATGCAAAACAAATACATTACAATACTTAAGAAAAATGAGTGATTTTTGAAACTGAAAAGTAAATACCACCAAAACAAAACCTGAAAGGTTGAACTTTGGGCAATTAAGAGAAAGAGCAGAAGAAATCACTTAAGAGATGAGAGCAGGATGCATGTACTGTTAGTCAAGTGACTAGTTAATAAATAAATAATAAAGCTTATGTAGTATTATTCTGTGATTTACAAAGTACACAGAACCAGTCACTGACAAACAATATTCAAAATATTGTGCTTAGTTTGAGGCATGATACATATAATATTAGCAGCAATATTCTTTTTTGCTTCAGTGGATTTAAAGACTGATTCTGAAAAAAAAAAAAAAAAAAAGAAAAAAATAAAAGAAGGAAAAGTCAAGTAAGGGAGAGAGGATCTTTCAAAGAGGTCCAAAGACACCTCTGCAGAAGATCCTCCTTTAGTCCTGAAACCATGGGCAGTTGTGACAAATGCTTAAAACTGAGAAATGTTTTCAAGCTGTATGTAGAAATACTACATCTCCTTGTGATAAGGAGCATGATAGTTGTGAATCAAGAACCATTATTAATGTTGTTAACTGGGACTGATAGAGAAATAAGCAGACTCACATTTACTGTTTCAGTGCCTTCCCACTTCTCATCCATGCACCAGTCTGGTGAATGGATATTTTATAGTCTGGACATCCAGGCTTCTCAGATTTAGAAGTCATACTTTACAGAAATTGTATTTTATTTTCATGTACTGGAAGTGGAGCTTATATCATTATCCTTTTTAATCTCTCCTATTTACAGTAATTATGGTCTCCTGGCTGGGTAAAACATTTAGCTTTTGTAAAAATATAAGTATTGGGTTTTCTGCAAGGTTTTAACCTAACTGATTTCTTCATAACACCCAAGAATCATAGCAATATAAATCTTCCAAGAAATTATTGCTGCTATAAGAAACAAACTTACTCAGAAAAACAACTGCTTATATACCACTAGTGAAATTACATTGGGTGTGGAGGTGCAAGGCATTACCTAATGTAGATTCTGTATTCTATATGCAGAGTGTAACTCACTGGAAATTCTCAGCAGCCTCAGCTAAAATATGTGGAAGAAAAATATGTAGATTGTCTTTGGTTTTTCTTTCATTAAGGCAACCCATTGCTTTCTGAAATAACAAATTATTTGCATTTCACTTCAGTAAGGAGCTACATGTAACTATAGTTACCAGTAACATCTATAGCTCTTGCCTTTGGGAAGATTCTAGAGGCAACTCCTTCATTCGGAGAAGATGATGTGAACACCCTTATGACAAGAGAGTTGATACAAATCTTTGTTTGCCTGTGATCAAAATTCTGCCTTGCTTAGAAAAGGGCACAGATTGTCCACCATATTTTAAAGCACCTAAATTACGTGCCTACCTGTGAAATTTATTCATCCCAGGCTCTTTCTTTAAAGGAGCAAGAGGCAACTCCAGATGATAATATTGATGTTAAAGTGGTCCTACTAAAGGTTCTTTTTTGGGGTTTGGTTTTTGGTTGTTTTTTTTTTTAATTTTAGATAGCATGGATCAAAGAAACACTACGTAGATCTATGAATGTAAAACAGTTTATGTAGGATAACACCTTCCAACTAGTGTAACCATCTGTGTCTACGCCCTGGTGGAAGGATTAAACCTTTCTAACTCACTGAAGACACATCCCTTGAATTTCACTGGGGAGTGCAGGATTAGTGCTACTACTCATTTCTAATCTATCTTAATTTCTTTGTATGATTTTACACATGGATGAAAGGGATGTAAGAAAGAAACTAAGAAGAAATTTCTGGAAGGAGAAAAGTGAAAAGAAAGGACAAGTATAAACTATGAACAAGAGAGAAAAAATAGAAAAGAGCAAGATCAGAGGGCAAAAAATAGGAGAGAAGAGAAAGACCAGACAGAGGAAGGCACTGAGAATCAGAGTGGAAAAAAGAATACATGCAATAGCAGTTAAGAGCCTCATCTTATGCAGGTCGAGTCATAGGCAGTTTTGCCATTGATTTTGAGGTATGCTGGATCCAGCAGGTAAGACTGACAAGACAGAATGCAACCTTTTCCCGAGCAAAGAAATACTTAGGAAAACTGGCAAAAACTGAGTAATAGTGTCAAACTCTACCTCACGCAAGAGAAAGAAAGAAGAAATACTGAAAAGAAGCATAAAGAAAATAGTAAGTCTGAATCACTCGAAACTTGAGCAGATTTGGATTCTGAATTCCAGTTTGGATTTTGTAATGAGCCTCATTTTAATAACATGCTAAAAACCTCTGCTTACTCCATCTTCTAGATATTTCAGAACAGCACATTTCCCTTGGGCAAAATCGTAGCCCATTTGTTCTATCTTACAGAGCTTCCTGTCTGCAGTGAGTAAAACAGCAGGAGAGATTTCTCTGACATTCTATTACATCATATTTTAAACCCCTCTACAGTGGAAAAGAAAGAAGTTGTTGCAACAAACATAAGAGGCTTTGTGAACTTCTAGGCAGCCTGCTACGGGTTTGCAGTGTTTTTCTATGGGTTGATACAGGAGAAAAAAAAATGGGACAAGCAATATTTATGGGTTAACAATTCTCTTGTCATGTTGCAGGTTTGTGACAAATTTTCATTGCTTACCCAGGTAGGATCTAGCAGCCCTCCCTCTGTAACAAACATCAATAACTCATGACTTTGCAAGCAGTTCTGACCTTGGAGAGTCACCTGACGGCAGTATTTGGCAAATGACTGTGGTTGTGCTGCAAACAGTACCTAGACATCTAGACCTGCTGGAGCCCAGATTGCATGATTTAGAAGACTCTGTTTGGGACACTTATCTACTACTTCTGGAATTACTCTCTTCCAACTCTTTC